CACCCCCACCTCACCCTGTGATCGGACCAGCTCCGCCCAGGAACCCATGAAGACTGGGACAGAAGAAGGGGGGGAGGGGGCGGGGGTCTGTTCTCCGTCCCAGATCAGCAGCTCTCCAGAGACCAAGACCCCGACCCTGGAGAGTGGGCGGGGCCTGTTGACAGGAAGTCTCATCAGTCAGCTGAAGCCCGAGGTGTTCAGCAGTCTGGTGGAGATCTTTAAGGACGTCACCAAGAACACGGTCAAGTTCTACATCCACTCTGATGACGAGGGAGGGGGGGGGCCCATCTGTCAGGAGATAAAGGTGCACTTCCTGTTTGTTAACTCGTTATTAACTCGTTATTAACTCGTTATCAACGAAAATCATTGAAGAAATGTTTTGGTTCTTCGAAAGAAATCGTTTTTAAAATGTGTCAGAGTAGAAGTTTTACTGCAGTGACCCCTGACCCCAGTGCCCTCAGTCACACTGACCTTTGACCCACAGGGCTACCTGAACAGTCTGGGGAACAGTGAGTGTCGTCCACAGACCTTTCTGGAAAACAGCGGCAGTTTGGACAAACTCCTCATCATCATACGGAACGAGGACATCGCTGCACACGTGCACAAGGTGAGAGCCACGAACATCACACTGACACCCTGCAGATGGCGCCGGTGGTGAAAGTCCAGAACCTCTTTTCTATTTGGAGTCGATGTGAAATGTAGTGATTGGCTGTCGCTGAGGAGGGAGTACAGAAGAACTGCAGTACACACGCAGTACACACGCAGTACACACGCAGTACCTAAACCCATCTCTGTGGTACCGCTGTAGTCCGTCCTCTAATCTGAACAGTGTCAGTGTTCCTGTTGTGGTCAGTGCTGTGTCAGTGTTCCTGTTGTGGTCAGTGCTGTGTCAGTGTTCCTGTTGCGGTCAGTGCTGTGTCAGTGTTCCTGTTGTGGTCAGTGCTGTGTCAGTGTTCCTGTTGCGGTCAGTACTGTGTTGACGATCGTCACCTGGTACCTGTTGTAGATCCCGGCCCTGGTGTCGTTGAAGAAGCTTCCTTCGGTCAGTTTCGCAGGCGTGGATTCTCTGGACGATGTGAAGAACCACACCTACAACGAGCTGTTTGTGTCCGGTGGTCTGATGGTCTCCGACGAGTTTGTCCTGAACCCCGACCTCATCAACCAGGGTCAGCCAAATTCTGTTTGACACCTTTTTGAACTTTGAAGCCGGACGGCGGTTCACAGCTGTTTGTCCTTCCTGGTCCAGAGCGTTTGCAGGGACTGCTGCGGTTCCTGGAGGAGCAGAGCACTCCAGAACACCCCTGGCAGTGGAAGGTCCACTGCAAGTCCCAGAAGAAGCTGAAGGAGCTGGGCAGGTGAGCCCGATGCTGGAACTGTTTCACAGTCATCAGGAAACAGTTCTAGCCTGATGCTGCTGTAACTGGGTCAAAGGTCACAGTGCACAGTGTCACTTCTGGTACCACTGGTTTAACACCGTACCAGTATTTGGGTCTTAGATATTACATTCTGATGTACTGTGAAGTTGAAGTCAGTACTGGTACTGGTGCTGGGACTGGTGCTGGTGCTGGCGCTGGTGCTGGTACTGGAGCTGGTGCTGGTGCTGGCACTGGTGCTGGTACTGGCACTGGTACTGGTTCTGGTGCTGGTGCTGGTACTGGAGCTGGTACGGGTGCTGGTACTGGTACTGGGACTGGTGCTGGTACTGGAGCTGGTACAGGTACTGGTACTGGTGCTGGGAATGGTACGGGTACTGGTGCTGATACTGGTACTGGTACTGGGACTGGTGCTGGTGCTGGTGCTGGTACTGGCACTGGTACTGGTTCTGGTGCTGGTGCTGGGACTGGTGCTGGTGCGTTCAACGTCTGAATGAACGAAACAGGAACCAGGAAACAGTAACCCAACCTGCAGTGTTTTCTGTTTGAGGAGCTGGTCTTCCTCAGTCGGTCTTCCTCAGTCGGTCTTCCTCAGTCGGTCTTCCTCAGTCGGTCTACTGACTAGGCTGTAGCGAGCTCATCAACAGTCGCTCAGATGCTGTGTTTCCGTCCAAGGTTGAACACCAACGCCATGACTCTGTTGAACCTGCTGACGTCGTACCAGAAGAAGCACCTGGTGGAGTTCCTGCCGTACCACGACTGTGACGCTCAGCTACGTCAGGCTCCAGATCTGGAGTGTCTCATCAAACTTCAGGCTCAGCACACGCAACAGCGCCACCTAATTTTCCTCACAGGTATGTCCACCCCGGCCACTGCTTCCAAACCCCCTCGTGTTTTTGTGGTGAGAGTTCGATGAGGAACAAACGGTTCTGTCTGTGGAACTGTTTCTGCAGAGAGACCCTTCGAGATGTTCCTGCCCTTCTCCAGGAACGGGATCATCATCGCCAGCATCGATGACGTCATGACCGGTTTCCACAGTCTGATTGGCTCCATTAAACAGAATGAGCTGCCCACACCGCCCTCTACTGGTGAGTAGCCACGAAAGCAGAGCTGAACACTAAACAGTTGTTTTTCACTTCCATCAGGGATGGTGGTGAGTTAGAGTACTGCAGCTGGGGTTCTTTATACATGTGCAATGTTAGTTAGTTAGTTAATGAGTTAGTTAGTGCGTTAGTTAGCTAGTTAGTGAGTTAGTTAGTTAGCTAGTTAATTAGTTAGTTAGCTAGTTAATTAGTGAGTTAGTTAGTGAGTTAGTTAGCTAGTTAGTTAGTGAGTTAGTTAGTTAGTTAGTTAGCTAGTTAATTAGTGAGTTAGCTAGTTAATCAGTGAGTTAGTTAGTTAGTGAGTTAGTTAGTTAGTTAGTTAGCTAGTTAATTAGTGAGTTAGCTAGTTAATCAGTGAGTTAGTTAGTTAGTGAGTTAGTTAGTTAGTTAGTGAGTTAGTTAGCCGCCGCTGTTAGCTGAGGTCCATGTTCAGCTGTCCACACTGCCCCCCCGACCCCCGTCCTGAACCAGTGGACGACAGCTGAATACACTGTGTGTGTGTGTGTGTGTGTGTGTGTGTGTGTGTGTGTGTTCTGTCCAGTGGTCAACGATGAGTGTGTAGAAGAAGAAGACATGTCTCTGGACTCTGATGATGGAGAGACGTCCACCGCAGCAGATCCTCCACAGACCCCCCAGGACGTCCAGAAGGAGACGGCTTTACAGCCCCCGCCCCCGGACACAGAGGAGGTCCAACCCCTGCTCCCTGACCTGAAGGTGACGCCGGAGAGCACGCCCGCGACGTCTGATTTTGGCGCTCTCAAATCGGCCATCTCTCAGTTCAAGGCCTCTGCGGACCACGGCGGTTTGTCACCGGGGGGGTTTCCTGTCAACCCCCACCAGAGTTTCCTGTGTCCGTCAGGCGGGTGGTTGTCCTACACCGGCTCCTCCAGCTACCCGGCCTCGCCCTGCAGCGGCACCCAGGAGCAGGAGTATCGCCCCCCCGCTACGACTCCCGCCGCAGCCCCCGCTGGACCACTAGCTAACCTGGCCTCCTTACCCTTGGAGGTGAAACCCCCCCCTCCACCTCACCTCATGATGCTAGGTCACACGTACAGTTCAGACACGGGGGGGGGCGGCTCAGACCGCAGCGACGCGGCCCAGACGGGCTACGTCACAGGCATTTCTAAAAACCCCACCCAACAGGACAGGACACACAATGGAGCGGGGGAGGGGGTGTGGGTCACTGCAGGGACCAGCACTGGGGAGGCCTGGTTAGACCTGGGGGGGCTGTCACACACTGGAGACCCCGTGGGGGGCGGGGGTCCGCAGGGTGGTCACGGCGGCCGGACCCGCTCGAATTGCACTGAAAACCTTGGAGCATCTGCATTACTTCCCACGGTGGTCACCAGGGGGGGCTCCGTGGTCGGACCTAAGCAGCCCCCACCTCCAGTGGTCGGTTTGGGGTACGGCGGCATGGGCAGCGTCCCAGGACCGATGGACCACGGGCCCACGCGGGGTGCAATGGTTCCTGGTTCCTTAGGGAGCTACAGAGGGAGGGGGGTCCTACCAGGACTCTGGACTGGTCCTGGTGGAGGACACGACCTGGGGGGTGGGCATAGCACTGGGCCCTGCTCCTGGGGCTACCCGGCAGGAAGGGGGGGGGCACAGAGCTACTACTCAAACTTCACAAACTCTCACAACTACACCCCTGAGTAGACAATCAGCAGGACTGGGTGGGGGGGGCACAGGAGGGGTTGTCCCCCGACTGGACCCCCCCCCCCCCGTTGATTGACATCAGTGATAGAACAGTTTTCTACCTTTAAAATAAAGCTGATCCAGACAGAGCCCAGTGCCCCCCCCCCCATCATCCTGTTCAAACCACTATATTTATATTTGCCAACCAATGCCAATGCCCCCCCCCTCCTGGAGGATCATATTTTTTTAAAGAAAAAACCAACAGAGACAGAGACTTTGGCTGGATTTCTTTTTTATTTGAGGTATTTGGTTTTTCAAAGCTCTATTAAAATAAACCGTTTCAAATCCTGTTTGTGTGGAACTTTGAGAACAGAACTGTACAAAAGTCTGGTTTAATTTAAAAAAAAACTTGTTGTTAAAAATTAAAACTCGAGTCCAAGAGTAAATGATGATGTTGTTTCCCCTCTCAAGAGAGCAGAGCTGCTGGGCTGAGTGGTGAGGGGGCGCTCTCGAGCGTCCTGAAGGTAAACATACAGCTCAGCTGTTCACTCTAACCTGACCACAGGTGTGAACGTGAGTGTGACTGGTTGAAAACCTTTGTCCTGGGCTGATGCAGTTGTCTCTGACAGGCAGCAGGTGGCTCTGCAGCGGAAGTCGTTGACTCTTATCGACCACAGTTCGTGACATCACGGGGAGTTAAAGCTCATCAAGATCAAGATCACCGTTGAAGGAGTCGATATCGCTGGTTGTTTTAAGTGTGTGGACGAGGAGAACCGCGAGATGGCGCCAACTGCACCGATGTGAAAATAGAGACCAACGTTCTCCAGTCCAACCCACAGTAATGTTGAGTCTCAGTCGATGTTTGGATCAATATTCTGTACAAATTAGTCCCTGTAAATACTTGACACATTTCTTTAGTAAATATGTATAATATATTCATATCTATGACGTCATTACATTTTAAAACATCTACCCATTAAAAATAGTTTTGCTATAGACGTTTGTATGTTTTTATAGGTTTTCATACAAAAACCATGACATTTACTAGTTTATATTAGGATTAGGATTAAGACTGGTGACACACAGATCTGTACTGGTCAAATAACTGACCACAGTAAAATACCTTCAGGTTTGAATCTAGCTTTTTTTTTATCCACCGGACTAACAGATGCACAGCGTTAGCGGCTAATTAGCCCACGGCGCCGCGGCCCTGTGACTGGACGATCGTGTCGACAGGTAAGAATACGGGATTCAAAATGTCCCATAAACTCGGTTTTTTTTCTCACATTAACCACAGTTTCGAAACTTTTAGCCTAAAACGTCCTGTCAAGGTACAATAAACCTCAAAGGTGGGCTGGGCTAAGCTAATCCTGCTGCTGCTTTGGGCCGTGGAACAACAGGCTAGCACCGCGATTCATTCGATGGGCTTTTTCTTTGGGTAAACTACGGAGGCCCTAAAGGGACATGGGGGAAAAAGAACGTTTCTGTTGTTCACCTGTAGGCTTCAGGTACAAATCCGGAAGAACTTTATGAAAGAGGAAGAACATGGACTTCGGTCACAGGAGTAAGACCGTGACCAGTTTTTAATGATAGAAATTCGTACCGAGCTTAAAAAAAAATAAAAATAAAAATCAAACATTTCAACGTGTAATTTAGTAGGGGATGTTATAATAGTAACATTTTAATGCAAATGTAGAACTCGAACTCTACCAGGAGAGGGTGCAGTCGTAGCGTTTCTGTCAGTCAAACCTGGACTTCATCTGTTCGAAGGTAGGACCGACTGTAGACCGGCTCCGAACCGGGTTTGAATCCCGCAGCCACAGTTTTATAACAGTCGTGTTGATTTGGTGGAAGGATTCGTGTTACAATAGGAGTTGTGTAATTCCCTACATTTGAAATGTTTCATGAAGTGGTCTCAGCTCTCTCACTGTGAAGAACAACGATGACGGTGTCAGGCTGTCTGGCCTCCTATAGGGGGCGTCGGAGTACTTCAGTGTATAGGTCACAGACAATTCAAGAAAAGAGTTACACTTACAACAACAACAACAGCAACTACTACTACTACTACTACTACTAATACTATTACTACTACTACTACTACTACTATTACTACTACATCACAGTACATGCCAGTACATCACAGTACATGCCAGTATATCACAGTACATCACAGTACATGCCAGTACATCACAGTACATGCCAGTATATCACAGTACATCACAGTACATGCCAGTATATCACAGTACATCACAGTACATGCCAGTATATCACAGTACATCACAGTACCGTGTCCCTGCAGTGGTTCATTAGTCCTCCTGTGAACATTGACCTCCGTGACCTCCGTGACCTCCGTGACCTCTGTGTGCCGTCTTATCAGGAGCTGTGCCTTCGGGGTCACAGGTCGGAGCTGGAGCGGCCGCAGCTCCGGGGTGTCCACAGTGACATGGGGTCAGGTAGAGGTAGATGAGGATGAGGCCCACGGTCACCACGCAGCCCACCAGTGTGGTGTAGCCCGTGCTGAATGACTCCCCTGCAGGTGGCAGCACCGTGACCTCCACCCGACGGGTGGCGTTCAGGGCCAGTCTGTGGTCCACGGCCGTGCACACGTACGTGCCGGAGTCCTCGAGGCGCACCGCCGGGATGTCCAAGGTACCGTCAGGAGACAGGCGGAGGACCGAGCCCCTGACGCTGCTGGGGGTGAGGGCGCCCCTGCTGGGGGACAGCCAGGTGAACCACAGGTGGCTGCTGCTGCGTCCACTCAGCGACGTCTGACAGTCCAGACGCACTCTGTCTCCATGAGGAACCACGACGCTGGGCAGGAGGACGCTCACGGGCCCAGACACGCCTCTTTCCACGCTGCAGTTGTGGAAGAACCGGCCGTGGAGCAGGAATCGAACCGACGCTCGCCGGTTCCCGAAGATGGAGCAGGTGAGCTCCTCCTCAAAGTCCTTCACCGAGTCGTAACCCCTCACCTCCCAACGGTGAAACGTGCGGTACAAGGAGCAGTCGCAGACCAGGGAGTTGTTGTGGAGATAAAGCCCCCGCTGGAGCGCAGTCGGCAGAACGTCCACCTGCTCCCAGGGCAGACGGCCCAGCCGGTTGGAGGACAGGTCCAGCGTGGTCAGGGACGGGTGACTCTGCTCTTTGATGGAGAAGAAGGGGAAGTGTGTGAGCAGGTTTAAGCTGAAGTAGGCCTTCTTCAGCCAGGGGAGGCCACCCAGTGCCCCCCCCTCCACCTGAGTGATCCTGTTGTTGAAGAGGAGGAGCTCCTCCAGCCGCCACAGCTCCTGGAAGTAGTGCTTCTCCACAACCTGCAGTCTGTTGGAGGAGAGGTCCAGATGTCTGAGGCCGGAGGTGTTGAAGAACACCCCAGGACCAAGAGCCCTCAGCTGATTGTGGCCCAGCTGCAGGGTCTCCAGTCTGGGCATCAGGGTGAAGCCTCCTGGACCCAGAGACCACAGACGGTTGTAGCCCAGGTCCAGTGTAACAGACACCGGGGGCAGGTTGACGGGCAGCCTGGTCAGACCTCTGGAGCTACAGCTGACCGTGTCCGACACACAGAGACACACGGCTGGGCAGGAGTCGGCGTGGACGAGGGGGAGGGGGGGGAGGAGGGGGAGGAGGAGGAACGGCAGAACACTGCAGTGCAGGTCAGAGGTCATGTTTCCAGAGGTCGATTCTACTCCTGGGCTGGAGAACAGTCAAACAGGAAACACTCATATATATATATATATACATATATATATATATATATACTCAAAGTATCTTCAAAGTGAAATACTACAAAGTACTCATCCTCAGGCAGGAGGATTAAAGTACTTCATGTCACTTCTTCATGTTTACAGTAGAAATAGAAACATACTCACAGCTGTGTTTCCTAATCCCTCTCCTCTTCAGTGGACAAAGTTCTTCACAGCTCAGTTG